TAGAAGTATCATCGCAAACCTAGTGGTCTTCTGATTTCCGCCTTCTCGCGTCAGGACTATTAGTTTCTCGACCAGTCCATAACAATAATTCAGCGACGAGTACATAACAATTTGGCGACGGGGAAAACTAGAACATAACACTTTTAAACTTGTCTATACAACGTGTTTGGGAGAGAATATCCTAAAGTTTGTGTAAGCCCTAGCAATTAAAAAGTTTAAGCCGCCTTTACGCGTTCAAAAACAATTCATCATCACATTAAACCTACTTTCTTTGGTAAACTTTATTTTGATACCATAGCAGATATACGATTACTTCTGTTATTTGGTTTAGTGATCTTTACTGTTAATTTGACTTTCACTAGGTCCTTTTAACTTGACCTAAGTAGACTATTTTCTTACCTCCTAACTCTTTATTAACTTCGTATATATTCCTATGACAAGTTCGTGTGTGATCAGGCTGTTCGAAATGTACACCGCAAACACATCACATCTGTCAGATAATCTCTGTCTTCTAATAATACTATCCAAATTTGTAAAAGGGACTAATTATTTCAAAGAAAACTATGAAACGAAATTTTCGAAACTGTGTAGTTATAATTGATATGATTATGAACAGTAAATCGTGTTCGAAACTTTGTCATCCAGTTAACAATAATACTTTTTCTTCACTGTGTGGCATAGCTAACAAACCAATTATTGTGGAAGTGAAGGAGTACATTTTAAGACATAGTGAAATAATTCAGAAACAATTATCTCATGTATTGCGATACGTTTTCTACCACCCACAACAATGTTCTTTCTCAGCTTTATTAGAAACCCCCGAATAATCAAGTCGTAAGCATCCTAAATACTTGCGAGTGTAAATAATACCTTTTAGGGACATATTTTAATAGATTAAAACAGTTTAAACGAGAGAAAGTATATGTAAAATAATGATGGAGGTGTTTTGTAACCCGATTTTTAAACTGGCCACTGATTATCATGAAGTATCATAAATTTTTTGTTCAAGAATTTTGTCTTTTATCATATAAAGATTTAATTAAAAACAGTGTAGCCTTTCGCTCAGTTAGTTGCTAGCTTTCTTCATTATCAGAACGGGAATTTTTCAAAATATTATGAATTAATTCTTGGTGCAAGTGTCCACTAATATCTGTGGACTCACAGACATATTTTGATGTCATGGCTGATGATTAGACAATTAATGAAAATCATGCTCACGATAAGATGAAAATATGTTGAAACTGTCTAAACGCAAATGAATATGTTTATTTCTGTGCATTTCAGATAAACTGTTTACTATGCTGTATTAGCAGAATACAGTGCTGTTTGATATCAAAAACAATTATGCGACCAAATGATGTACACTCATAGCGAAATATATAAACCTTATACTTTGCCAAAGACATATTTGTTCAACTTCTTTTGTATTTGAAGATTGATTACAACCTGACTCCAGAGAGTACTGGACAGCTGTTTTGTCCTTGTTTGGGACTATTTGGCAGTACTCAACCAGGAACCGAAACAAGAGGAATCGAACCCAAGACCTCGTAGTTACAAGGCAAACTCATAGACGATTTAGCCACTGCGGTGAATTCCCAGGACCGATGAATTCTAACTTCTGTCGATTCACATAGTAGCGCGATCGCCATCGAGAACTTGTCATCACACTCAACAGGACGGACCCGATTGGTCATGATTTCCCACTGGAATCTTTAATGTTTCGTATATTTTTTCAAAAGTATTTGCATTTCTCCTCTATCTCAACTAATTCTGCGTTTCGCTGTTCAAGATTCCTCAAGAAAACGTCACCAGTATACTTCTTACAAATTCATGTCAGTAGCATGCGCTACAAGGCTAATAACGTACAAGTATAAAGGTCATTTATTCCGCTGGACTGGAAATGATAAGGTTGCGTTCTCAACATGTATAAACCTGTGGTGATTCACTATTTCTATCTCTGTATTGTTTAAATACTTACTGTTGATTGTTAATATTTCTTATATGAATTGCATTATAATTCGGCTAAATACAAATTCCTGAATTCCACCCTCTCTGTGTTTTGGTTGGATTCTTGTAATTCGGTCATCTCGAAATACTAATACTACGATTACAATAAATTACTACAAATTGGCGTCGCGATGGAACTAAATAACCTTGGAAAATTCCCTTTAAATGGTTCTCCGCGGGAAATTGCTGATTATCTTGAATGCTTCGATGCATGGTGCATTTCAAAGAATGTTCGGGATGACAAAATACCAGCTCATTTCATCACTGCTATTGGGCTAGATGCATATAGCCTAGTAAAGAATCTGGCGTTTCCAGATAAACACATTTCTCTGTCATATGTCAAGCTCCGTGAACTTCTGATACATCACTTCCATATAACTACTTTTGAGACACGAGAGAGGGCTCAGTTCAACAAACTGGTTCGTGCTCCCAACCAGAAGATTAGAGACTTTATTTTGCAACTCCAAATACAAGCTTCAAAGTGTTACTTTGGAGATCAGCTGCATACTCAACTACGTGATCGTCTAATTGCTGGAATCAATATTCCTAAGTTAGAGAAAGAGTTAATTCAGATTCCTTCTTGTACCTTTCAAACTGCTAAAGATTTATGTATTATATATGAAGATGTCAACAGTAAATATCCTGCTCCCACTACGTCAGTATCTGATGTCATGCTGTCCAAAGTCGAAAATACAAGTGGTCATGGAAAGCAATCCAAACTGTCGTCCACAGGTAATAGAATGCAGCGAGAGATCAAAAACATTAAACCGTGTTTATCCTGTGGAAAGTTACATCTACGAAGCACTTGCCGTTTTCGGGGTGCTAAGTGCCATAAATGTGGTAAAGTTGGACACATCAAGACTGTTTGCAGAAGTTCGAATACTTATGTTACTCAGAATTCTTATAATTCTCCCAAGCTGTCTAGTAAAATGGAGTCAATGTGTCTTTCAACTTTTCAAAATACTCAATGTCTTCCAATGAAAACCTCCACTACAAGTTCAGCAACTCAAGCATCAACTGTTTCCAAAATGAGGTAGCCGAGTTACAATGCGAACTGTCGAAAACACGGAAAAAACTGAATGAGATGAGAGAGCAACTGATTAAAATGGAGGAATTGCTGCATATGCATAGACTGCGTCTGTTGAATGCAGAGCCTACAAGTACCCATGAAAATCCTGCAAAACTATTCAAATCTCGAATTGTCAGAAAGCATCTGATGTCCGTGACTTCTAATGTACATTATTACAAAGGGAATGACTATAGACCTTCTGTTGGAATCATACTACAAAAATTGGGAAATCGAGTGGTGAAGATATTAGACATCAAAGATCACTCAGTTCATAACGGACACCTGGACAAAGTGACAATAAATGAAGTAGGTCGTTCCGATTATAATTTTATTGATTCCGCTACTAATCCTGATTTTGTAGATAATTCTGAAATAAGTCCAGATAACACTGATGAAAATAATATCACAGAATCAGTTAGAAGTCGCAGCTACTTGCAAGCAAACCGAGACATCGTTATAAATACGCAAGGAGACATTCGACGTGTGGCGGATGTGGTGATTGACTATTTCTATCTCTGTATTGTTTAAATACTTACTGTTGATTGTTAATATTTTCTTATATGAATTGAATAATAATTCCGCTAAATACAAATTCCTGAATTCCGCCCTCTCTGTGTTTTGTTTGGATTCTTGTAATTCGGTCATCTCGAAATACTAATACTACGATTACAAATAATTACAACAATACTTTTTCTCTGAAAAATTATGAGCTTATATTTCTTCAATGATAGAGAAAGCGTTTCTTCGTTCAAGCAAGGGATTTCCGAGAGCCGTAGTCCTTCCAGCCAGTCTAATACCATCATATCCAAGTTTTAATCGTTCACATAGTATCTACTGAAAAACTGGACATCACGGAAACCTACAATTGCACTTTAACATACCGGTCAGACGAGTGTTCCACCGCACGCTGTGACTGTTATCTGACATGTACTGTCCATGGCCGAGCATCCCAGTTCCTTCCAAGACCTCTTCAGCATTATCATCATATCCTTGATGATATTCTTCTCCAATATCTTTCAATGTCATGGGCTGGTCTTGTTCATATCTGTTCAACAAGAGGTCATGGATGACTGAAAACTACAAATTGAAATGATATTCTGTAAGCGACTTTAACTTGAACCGTTCACATCGGTGGTTAAAAACACCCAGCTAAGTGTAAATATCATCATTTTCGTTCAGCACCAGTTTCATATAGTAGTGATGTATGTTGAACAACAAATTATAGTCACCAAACTGCTGAGGGAGTGTCTGGATGGTTTCGTTGAATATCCTGTCACTGGGCTTTCGATAGTGAATCAGACTGCAGTATTTATCAAACTCAGCTGCATCTAGCTTCGTCTTTGCCCTTTAAATCCGCTGTAAACAGGTCTTCGTATCTGTAGAACTAAATATTGAATCTATTGTCTACATCAAGGTCATAAATTCAGATATGCTACTTCTAATATTGTAATTATCTGAGTGCCATGTATGTTCACTGCATTTATGTTCTCTTTACAGGAATTATGGTTACGCATTAAACGGATTTTTCTAAATGAAACTGTGTATTATTTTTATTATTTAAATTGTGTCGCTGGTTCAATCAGAGAATGCTCTCCAAAGACACACACACAAATGGTTTTGGGTTCGATTCCTGACTGATACAGTCTTAATCTTCAGCTACATAATTAACCAGTGATAAGCCTCAGTGTGGTATTTACTTAGGAATGTGAATGAACTGCATATACTACTTAATTTTGTTTTGCTTTAACTTATTAAGGTGTGATGTTTACCAGTAATCTGATGCTTAACTATTTCAGCAAGTTAAGATCCAATCAACATAACTAAAGAAGAAGAAAAAATTTAGTCAACCAATCAATCACCACCTTCAAAATATAGGCCACTAATATACATATATATAAATATGTTCACATTACTAATATACCAACCGTCTAAATACTATTATCACATACTTATTCTTCATAATGTTAGTATACATTTTATTACTGTCATTTCTTACCACTGTAAAAGCATCAGGAAGTGAGTGTTCACGCGTTGTCTTCACAGTATTCCATATGTTTTATAGTAATGCAGTGTAAATTCTTTTTTTTTTCAATACTGTAACTGTCTTGATGTTTTGTTCCCTTGAGATCATGAGCATTATTAATCAAGTACTGGCTTGCAGAGATTTGATCAGTTACAGGATTGATCACAACCTGGTATCATTTACAGAATCATTGAAAGCAAACAAGCAGTACTGAATAGCTATTTCGCGAAGAGTTCCAAACCACTACTACTATAAAAGAGCTGTTTAAGTACTCACAGATGGTTTTCCAACGATTCTCTAACTGTTGTCACCACGTGATCAATCCTAGAAATATATTTATTGTATCTCAATTTAGTGAGAATACACAGGAAGGTATATTAGATCTCAGTATAATCGTCTGAAAAAGATATGATGTCTTCGAAAGATTTCACTTAGACCTAACAGCATGAAAAATAAGATCCGAACTCTCAACTCAGAGCTACTATACGGATCAGAGACTTGCACTGCGCGTCATAAAGAGCATCTCAAACAACCTACACACCTTCATTAACAGCTGTCTTTACTCAATACCCAAAATCAGATGGCCGGCCAGATAATATCAGCAATAGGGATCTCCAGCAATGAGCGAACCAATCAGGAACAGATTGTGCAGCAAACATGTAGGAAGAAATGGAGATGGGTTGGCCATAATATGAAGAAACCATCAAGTGACATCGCTAGACAAGCCATCGCTCGAGTGGAACCCGAAAGGGAAGCAGCAAGTTGGTCGTCAGTGCGAGGGTGATATGGAGGAGGTCATGTGAAGAGGAGATGAAAACATGTGGGCAGACTTGGAGCTAGATGAAAACTCTAGCAGAGAGCTGAACGCCATGAAGATACGCGGCTGAAGCCCTATGTTCCTCTAGGAATTAAAGGAAATAATAATAGGAGAAACCGGTAAAAGCCTCTTACAACATGGAATAGACACATCACCTTTTGGAGAAGATATTCTCTGTGTGTTTTATCTGAGACATAATAACTTTAGGTCGTTAATTATTTTAGTATTACACACTCGGTTTAAGGCAAGAGGATCTTCTATACTTGACGCTTTTTACGTTCCTATTCATTGTTTGGAAAACATAGAAACATTAGGAATCGTTAGATAATCCTGTCGACGTATAACTAACGGTAATCGTAGTAATACATTTTGTTTTATCAATATAAAAATGGTTTGATCTAAATAAAATTTCATTCATGAAATGATAAAGTGTACTAGAAGTCTGTGGTTCAGCCTAAATGCCTTCTAAGTTGATGGTATTTAAGGTAGTGCCTTCTATTCGGCTTAGAACTTACTTCAAATGTAACAGACTTAGTTGCTGCTGAGTGTGATTATAGTTTCAGAAATTGAATACTTATTAAACTCTTTACCCGTAGTACAGCACATCATTGGTGGAAAATGCTTAATAAGTTTGATTTTTAGATGGTTAACTAATTATTACAGTCATTGGGATATTGGATGCACTTAAAAATCTCCTCCGTTGTTTGAACAGATTACATTTCTAATGAAGAAGATTTGTAGCTCATGTGGATGATTCTAACTGAGTTGTGTCCTTTCGGCTGGTTGATTTGATTGAGAAGCTTTTATTGTCCTTCCAGATGTCATCTTCAGCGCAGCAATCAGTAGAGACTGAGCTTGTTGGAATTCTTCATGAATTATCCAATTGTATCTCCAGTCAATCATAGTTGTGATTACTTGTCAGTTTTACACTGATCATTTTTGTTGACTCAGAATTCTAACCTTCATATCAGGTGGTTCATGTTTTTATTAGTTAGTAAATTTGATCGATAGTAATGTGTTGATCTGTTAATCCCTGATTTATTGAAGTATCATGCTTCTAGAAATTCCATAGCAATTTTTGTATTTTCATTGTTTATCATTTCTACATTTTCCCAATCAAACTGGTAATGACAAATCTCTGCATGTATCAATATGAAAGAATATGTTTATAGTGTCTTTTCACAGCTAATTTTTGCTCTTGCTTTCTGGGTTCTAACCGGACTTACACACTGACCAGTGTGGTGTTTATCATAGGCTGTACAATTTATTTTGTAGATGGTACTGATCTTATCTTATTTTCTGACAGGTCCCTTGCTCTGCACAATATTGAATGAAGTGATTGTGTTGGCTTGTATTTGTTTTTCCTTCATGTTCCTCACTGGAACATAGAGCTTCAAGCTAGTGGCTTGAAGTTTCTGTAGCAGTGTTTATTTTTACAAGATGAAGTTACTAACCTCATGCCAAACCTTTCCTCTTCACCGGCATTATTTCTGGCTCCGCGAGGTGAAGGAGTGCGTCCGTGCCCGGGGATCGAACCCCGGACCATGTGCATGGTCGGCGAGCGTCCTAACCGCTACGCCACCGACGTCCATTGGCTTGTAAACTACGTCTCTTTTAATGGCCTGAATATCCCTAGCCCTTATTTTAGAGATATTCTCTAAAAATGATAGAGTGGTCTTTGAGAATGGTTTCTTGTTGGTATTCCTATTTGAGCTTAAACGCGTTCTGATGAAATTGTATGAGTATTCATTCTTTCTAAGGACAGTCAGAAGGTAGATATTTCATTTCTATTCTCTTCAGCACTTGAGTGCTACAGTGTGTTTAAACTGTTTTAAACAATGTCTCCAGACGGTTTCTTGTGTGAGTCGTTGAATTCTGCTATCATAGTTGAGTATTTGGTCTGTATATATGTGCGTTGCTTTTCTGAATACTTGGGGGTTTCAAATTTCCTGTCAGGAGATACAAGTACATCATTCATGCAGAAGTCAAACAAGTTCATCTTATATTAAAGTCTCAGCTGAAGACAATGAAAGCTCAGTAATTAATTTAACCTGCTGAAAGAACACAACTCAGACAAAAAACAGATTACAATTGTGAAAGGAATTTCAAAATTTATTAGCTGCTTTTCACTTCATTTTGAAAGTTATAAGAAAGTTGACTGAGAGAAGTCGGGGTAGATTTCTCTCTGTATGTGCGTTATATCTTGAATACTGACTATATTCTGTTGAGATGAAAACTGTTCACAAGAATGTAGCATAAATTTACTAATTCAATTGGACTAGTTCCTAACACATCGTTAACATTGTAATTGTTTATTGATAAAATGTAGAAAATAAACAACCTTTTAGATAGATTACCCAATTTAATGCGTGGTCAGTTAGCTTTAACACTCGATTTGAAGCTGGTTGCTGGTCTTGGATTTGAATTTGTTAGTATGCCCTTCAACCAGGGCAGAGTGGTAGTATCTCTATTTGTGACAGATTTAGTATGGCACATTTAGAGATACATTTACCATAAATATCCGTTGTAAATGACTAAGTTTTAATTAGCTTCAATTTGTACATGGAGAGAATTCCATGTGCAAGTTTCTCAAACAGTTAGCCATTCACCCGCAAATATGGTCCTCATTTTCTTTATAAAAAATTTCCTTCATTTATTATTCGTTTGGGAATCTACTAATAGTTGAGTAGACGTAACTCATTATCACTTTCCTCGTAAAACAAGTCAGCCGATATAAGATGAAATTTGAAAAGCATTAGTTTTGATCAAATTAAAAACTAGCATCACTTCATGAAGTTTGTAACATTTGGTTGGAATCAGCTGAGCAGGAAGTTGTACCTCTAGATGACAAAAACCAATATCTTGAGACTGTTGGTAACATATGGATCAAAATGATTCTCACTGGCCTAGATGAGTTCACATTTTTAATCTCCTTTAACAATCAGACAAGGCAAGATACGCATGTCTTCATCAACCTGAAACCGGTTTAGAAATCTGCTGCACTGACTCAGCATAAAGAAAAAGATTCGCGTTTTCATCACCAATGTAAAGTCGGTCCTTCCTTATGAAAAGGATTTCCAAGTGGTTGCAGACTATTATCAGCAGCTATTGCCTTCACTGAAGATTTAATGGCCAGCCAGGAAGAATTATGAACAAAAACCTCTGACTGCAAACGAAGCAACCAAGATCCGATCACTCAACAAATATGTTGGAGAAAATGGAAATGGATAGATTATACATTGAGGAAACTATAGAATGACATCGCGCATTGGCCAGGTCATCACTTGAGTGGAATCTAAATGGGAAGTGGAGACAAGTGGGTCATCGATGTGAGGGTGACATGGAGGAGATCGTGTGAGAAAGAGATAAGAGATTATGAGCACTCGTGAACCCAAATGAAGAGGGCTGCAGAAAATGGAAGAAAGTGGAAATGTGTTGTTGCAACCCTATGTTTCTCTCGGAACCAAGGTATTTTTAATAGTTATTATTATAGTCGGACACTTATCTTTCTTCAAACTAATTATTGTTTCTTTCTCCCTCGCACTTCTACTCATTATAGTTCATTTAAATACCTTCTGTCACTTTTGTTCTACCCTTGTGTACTACATGAAATGAAGCAGTTTGAACTGGTGCACTTCTGTGCAAAGTTCTATGGTGAAACTAAGGCAAGAAGTAAGTGCATATTTCAGCGCCTTCATTGCCTCTCCAATTGGAGAATGTTTGATCTTCATACTGAATAGCATCAAGCTACTTCTGTGGTGAGAGCTGGCTGCTAGCCAAAATCGATAGACAGCAATTTACGTCAATGTCTACGTCCCCAATATTGGTCATGAGAAAAATAAGAACAAAGACTGACTCAACAACCAATCACAGCAGGCTTTGCGTAGGTGGATACAATTTGCGGATAGACAATCTTAACTTCAATAAACAGCCACAAAGAGATGAAAGAATAACGTTCAGAGAGAAACCACCTATCAGAAGATGGTGTTTGTTTGTTTAAAATAATCTATATCTGTTGAATTCGTAAATAAAGGATCTGTTGTCTGGCCCTTGTCTTCTGCTGTGACACTTCTAGCTTGCGTGGATAAGCAATTTTAGTTATTATAACAGTGTTTTAAAGGAACGATTTTCACGAAATTATTGTGTTGTAATAAGACAACAAATATATCTTCAAAAAATGGGATATTCTCCTTGGTATTCATACTAATTTGTTAATGTGTGGCAGTTTTTATCACTGTCTTAACACTATAACGACTGTTGTTGGTTTTTCTTTCTAGCAATGCAACAATGCCAGGGAACTGTGTATGCTATAGCCACTTTCAATGGATCAAAATCAGCTGGAAGTGTATACTTCACAAGACAAGGTGAACAGATGCATATAACAGGATCTGTGTCAGGTTTGCCGAAAAGTAGAAAATTAGGCGTACATATACATGAATTTGGAACAACCGGGAATAATTGTTTGGATGCTGGGCCACATTTCAATCCCTTCGACAGGTAAATGCTGTTTTGTGATAATAACTGTCCTCTGAATCATGTAGTTCGATACTCTGATAAGAGACTAGTGTCATGCGTCTAGTCAATTATTTCATGCAAACTGAATTCCGTCAGTCAAGTTTGTAATGTGGCCACCATGCTGTGTGGATTACCATCACGGTGCACCCTGAATTGTGGTTGTTAACTGGTTGAAGGAGTTGGACCCAGGTTTCTCGCCTGCTAGCATTCATCAGCAAGGCGTATGGGCGTACGGAAGGAAATCATTTTCTTTCTGAGATTCCAACTGAATTCATCGTATATCGCAGTCATAGATGTTTGTGCTGAAGTATTCGACCTCGGGATTGATCTCCAGTAGGGCTTTAATGGATATTTTGATCAGATACTAGGTGTCATGTGTCTAGCCCTTTGTTTTTTTATTTTCCCTCACGCTCCTCACTGGAACATAGGGCTTCAAGCTAGTGGCTTGAAGTTTCTGTAGCAGTGTTGATTTTACAGTACGGGGTCGCTAGCCTCACGCCCAACGTTTCCTCTTCACCAGCATTATTTTTGGCTCAGAGAGGTAAAGAGTGCGTCTATCGCAGGGGATCGAACCCACACCATTGTCTGGTGCCAACTAAATTCTACCATAATATTCGATAAGAATAGTTGGACTATGCATGGTGTTCAATATTAAATCTTTACTTTTTGGAATTTGTGCGTAAGGCTGATTGGTTGGTGAATAAGTATTTATTACACAGTTTAATTAACATAAGTTGTACACTTAGTAAATTTGAAATGTTTTGCGAGAAATGATATTCAATTTAGGATATTATTTATTACTGGTATACAACGCAGATACCTAGCATAAAGGTTGTTTATTTCTTCAGTATTGATGCTCTTCAACCACGTATGTAGTACGGGTTCTGTCTCTAGTCGACGAAATCCTTAACCTCACTTAACCACTTGTAAGCCTGGTAAAAAGGGAAGGTTGGATGTGAGGCTGACAACTCCATACAGTAGTAAGAATACTGCCACTGCCAGTGATTCTTCAAAGCTTGAAGCCCAATGTCCTATTCGAAAATCAAAGAGGCAGGAAAAGTGACATGTAAAGCCACTATTCATCTATTTTTTATTCTACATCTCATTTTGATCGTTAGGATTTATTGAGATAGTATCTTCATTTTCAAGTATTAGCAGAGTTTTCCATCGAATATGCACAATGACAGTCTTTCTAAAAGTATGTGTATAAAGGAAATGTAATAAATGCAGTTATCAAACCGCACCATCGTTTAGAGCAAAATACCTTCCTTACCAAGAATAAGTTGTATCTACTCAGAATGAGAATAGTAACACAATTTGTCGTGTAGACTTATGCACGAAGTCTGAATATTAAAATGTCGATGGCGTTTTTGATAAAATTAATAAGACGGGTAACTCAGAACAGGTAGGCTGACCAACATCTTTGACTTATAAATTTTCCTGCTACACATTTCGAAAGAGAAGTTTCTGAGTCAGTAATAATTCTATGAGTGGCCTGAAGAAAGACATTCTAACTTAATGTCATTAACACCTAAAGTTCTGATGACAGAGTCGCGTAGAAAGCTCTCCTGAACACGTATGAATTCGTGCTGGTTAGTATAAAATGCTTAGAGTCGGTCATAAATATTTCCGTAAGAGGTAGAGTAGCATATTTTGGACCATGTTTTTCCTCAGTTTTCCTCACTTTCTCATTCGAAGTGTGTTATAAACACATGGTTCAATTAATAAACTTTGTGTTATTCTGTAAACTCTTGTTTTATATTTCAGAAGGCAATGTTAATTAAAAATTCTAAAACTATCACCTGTTCAGTTACATGCGGAAACTGATTAAATGACATGATGTACAGAAGCCAAAGGTGTCAGCAAACTTGATTTTTTCTGTAATAAACATTCCCTTCATTTTTTGATCATACCGAAATGTTCGTCTTCCGTTGACATGTCAGATCCTAGTACGCACGCTTCGACGATGTTTTTGAACTTAACACGATATTATTTGCCGGATTGTAGCTCTCAGTGGGACCTAGAAGGCGCATTCGCTCCTGTTTGTGAGTCGTTAGCTGCATGTACCTGAAACCTCCAGAGACACGAGCACAGGCTTCCGTCATATCTCAGTTGGAAAATCACCGCCCACTCGGGATTGCATAAAAGTCCAATTCATTAGGTCTAAATATGATGAAATGCGCTCCTAACTAAATTCCACTACTAATCACCCTCCACTGAATGATCGCTTCCATTTATTCATCACTATCTCCATCGATTTACTGAATAGTAGCAAATATTTAATCAACTTTAACAATTGAAACATTTATTTCCCGATACGAATTTCAAGGAAGCAACAGATGTTAATCGGCCGCGATTTAATGAATTCATCAAATTTCGGTAGAACTCCTTCCCAGCCGAATACTCTACGTTCAGTGGCATAGATAAGATGGAGAAGTGGCATATATATGTATACATATATGTTATCGGAAATACATTATGCGATCTTTGGCTTACAAATAAGCTCCGGGGAATCAATCACGCAAAAAGACAGGTGCAAATGTCTTAGATGTCAAGTTCACATAAATAGATGAAATGTGTATGTAAATGTGATCAAGCTACTGAATTTCAGAAGGCAGCAGGACCTGACGAAATTCCTCCGCGAAGCACTCAAAACGGATTCAGAGATTCAACAGATGTGCTCACGCCATTATTGCAAAAGGTTTGGAAGGAAGGGAAGGTACAACGTATTGGAAGAAAGGGTACTTCGTCAAGCTACCAAAGAAGGGCGACTTAGGCCTAATTCTCCGAAAACTGGCATGGAACCATGCTCTTATCCACCCACGAAAAGTGAAATACTAATTTGCACTATCCTGGAGAGAGTCAAGGATGCACTGGATGCAGAACTCCGCCAACAACCGGAACAAGCTGGAATCAGAAAAGGGAAATTATGTGTTGATTGAATTTTAACTGTACACATTGTAATCACATAAAAAAACATAGAACGGAAGTGTGCTGATTGAAAATTTCTATCTCTGTATTCTTTAAATACTTACTGTTGATTGTTAATATATTTCTTATATGAACTGAATAATAATTCCGCCAAATAGGAATTCCTGAATTCCGCCCTCTCTGTGTTTTGTTTGGATTCTTGTAATTCGGTCATCTCGAAATACTAATACTACTAGTACAAATAATTGTGAAGGGCATTCATATGTCTTCACCAAGTTCCTTCATCGACTTTGAGAAGGCCTTCGTCAGCGTTGAATGAGTTGTTTTTCGGAAACTGCATCATGACTACGGTGTGAACTGTCCAAGTTTTTATGAGACTGATTCAATAGCTGGCTATGTGACAGTGCCACGTGATCAACAACGGTAAACTGAGCGTGGCTGTCGAAGTGAACACAGGAGTAAGACAAGGCTGTCTATTTTTGCTGATGATATTCTTAATGGTGGTGGACTGTGTTATGAGTCAAACTTTGGGGAGCGAAGAGACAGGAAAACGCTAGACCACCACTGAGAAGACTCTAGAAGAAGACTTATGTTTCATGTAACACAAACTCGAAAACTTACAGGCAGGTAGGTGAGAACCAACAAACTCGTTGAAGAGGCAGCTGGTCAGAATTGGAAAGGCAAGACACACCTTCATCAACCTGAAACCAGTTTGAAATCTGTTTCTGCACTTCACCTAGTCATAAATAACAAGATTCGAATTCTGTTTAACACAAATGTGAAGTCAGTCACTTATTCTATATGGGTCAGGAACTTGTACTCTGTAAAAATCTTCAAAAGCTGCTACCTTCACTGGTTGGCTCCATACTGAAGATCAAATATGCGGGTGACCAAGAAGAATTAGCAGCAAGAAACTCCGGCGGGCAACAAACAAATCGAGCGAGAGCCAATCGCTCACAACATATGTGGGAGAAAATGGAGATAAATTGGGATACATCGAGGAGGATGCCGAATGATATCGCGCGTAGTGAAGGCCATCACTCGAGTGAAATTCAATTGCGAAGTGATGATGAGTGAGTCGTCAGTGGGAGGGTGATATGGAGGAGGTCTTGTGGCGAGGAGGGAGAGGAGGAGATGAGAGATTATGGGAAATCGCGGATGCCGGTGAATTAGACAGTAGAAAATGGAAGCAAGTAGAGATATGCTATTGAAGAAGATAGGGAACAGTTAGTCATGATACAAAGAATGTGGAAATGTTAGTAATCGCAAACTGAGTAATAGTATTAATAAAATGAGTTCAGATAATGGTACTCAGAATATATATTTTCAACTGAAACAAGAATAATAATTATAGTAAGATATGGAATAGAACCTCAACAATTACAGTTAATATTTAAGAGATATATGACAATGGTAGATTCGAAGAGACCACTATCTTCATTTGTACACAGAGATGGGTTTATAAACTGTAATTGTACATCCCTCTTCAGTTCCGAATATCTCCTCTGCTGAAAACATTTAATGACTTGAAAGAGTCATTTTCGTAGTCTAAAAAATGCCTTGCTAATGCATTTTTCCGTACCTTGACTGAGTTGTGCTTTTGTCTTCACAAACAAGCTGAAAATGATGTACGCAGTTAAAAGTACTATTGACCATTTGGCGAAAAGACTTACCCAGATTATTGAAGCACCCGCTTGTGGGTATTGAAGAATAAAGACTTTGTAGCATAATAAGTTCTAGTAGTTTTATCAAATCTTCGTTTGGATTTTCGTTTCAGTCATATACTTCAAATGGCAGATTGATGTAAACATCCGTTTCTGAAACGATTTGGATAGTTTTATTGGCTTACATGTCTCCAGACAATGGAAAGTCAATCACCAAAGAAGTAGAGCAAAGAAAACACTGGACTAAACACTTCAAAAGACTTCTAAATCGACTGCCACCTACGACGCGCCCAACAATACCAACAACGGAAGCAGAAATACCAGTGAACATCGACCCCCTGACGACATCAGAAGTCCTGAGTGCAATCAAGATGCTTAGAGCTGGAAAAGCAACACGACCAGATGGAATCCCAGCAAAAGCATTGTAAGTGGACCCAGAGACAACAGTGGACTTGATGACGCCATTACTGGGGAAGGTATAGAAAGAGGCCAAAGTACCCGAAGATTGGAAGAAAGGATACTTATTCAAACTGCCAAAGAAAGGATACTTCTGTCAAACAATCTGGCGCGGAATTATGCTCCTGTCCATCTCAAGCATAATACTAAGCCGAATCATTCTGGAGAGAATCAGACACTCCGCTCTGGATGGAAAACTTCGACCGGAACAAGCTAGATTCAGGAGAAGCAAGTCATGTATTGATCAAATCGCCACTCTACGCATCATCATTGAACAAAGCTTGGAATGACAGTCACCTCTCTATCTCAACTTCATCGGCTCTGAAAAGGCCTTCGACAGCGTCTATAGAGAGGTCATTTGGCAACTACTTCGCTACTACGGGGTGCCATCGACAATTATACATCTCATCCAATAGTTATACGACAATGCTGCATGCCAAGTAATCCACAACGGGAAACTTACGGAATCCTTCGAAGTGAGGATGGGAGTGAGGCAGGGCTATCTACTATCACCAATGATTTTCCTGATTGGAGTAGATTGGATAATGCGACGGACAATGGGCAACGCAACGAGGAGATATGCATAAAATGGACTCACACAAAATACTTGGAGAATCTGGACTTCGCCGATGATATATGTCTGATTTCCCATAACTAGAAGTTATGCAAGTGAAAGGCAACAAGTTGGCAGAAGAAGCATCAAAGATAGGACTTCAGGTGAACATAGATAAAACAGAGGTGATAAAGATTCCTGGCCAACACCAACAGCAACAACGACAACAGACAACAATCAGCCAGCATAAATGGGAGGAACCTAGAAGAAACAACCTCCTTCACCTACCTGGGAAGCATCGTTTCAACTACAGGCGGAGCTGACGAGGATATCAAAGCAGGGATCGAGAAAGCAAGACAAGCTTTCATTACTCTCAAATCTGTGTGGAAGTCGACAGCGCTCAGCATCAAAAATAAGATCCGGATTCTCAACTCGAATATGAAGTCAGTGCTACTATACGGATCAGGGACTTGCACTGCGCGTCATAAAGAGCATCTCAAACAACCTACACACCTTCATTAACAGCTGTCTTTCCTCAATACTTAAAATCAGATGGCCGTGCCAGAAAAGATCAGCGAAGGGATCCCCAGCAATGATTGAACCAACCAGGAACAGATTGTGCAACAAACATGCGGGAAGAAATGGAGATGGATTGGCCATAATCTGAAGAAACCATCAAGTGACATCGCTAGACAGGCCATTGCTCGAGTGGAACCCGAAAGAGAAGCGGCAAGTTGGTCGTCAGTGCGAGGTGATATGGAGGAGGTCATGTGAAGAGGAGATGAAAACATGTGGGCAGACTTGGAGCGGGGTGAAAATGTTAGCAGAAAACAGAAGAAAATGGAGACGCGCAGCTAAATCCTTATGTTCCTCTAGGAATTAAAGCATATAATAATAGTAGTAATAATATGTATCCAAAGTACTCACTTATAGATATCTCACAATACATCAATTTTAGATAAAATAGCCTCCAGGGTCCTCGTTTCATATTCACTTGTACAGTCAGAATAGGTTTCTCCTGTTCTACTGAACAGTATTCTGATTAGGTTCCCTTTATTCCAGATGGAAACAAAGCCTTTCAAGTGTGTATACTTTCCTCTCCATAAGGACTTTTTGAATATAGATTTTCTCTTGCGCCCTCACTCTATTTCACCAAAAAGAAAACATCTGGGAAATTCACCAGTAAATTTTTGACCTTTGAATTTATTTTGACAGATAATACAACTATCATCTGTAAATCTTAGATTCCATTCCGTCTGTTGTATATGCTGTTGTAAAGTGCCAACTTCTAAGCATGACAACATTAGGTTGAGGAAAAAACTACCCTCAAACTGTTTTCCCTATTGCGACACAGTCAACGTGACGGAATAGTCGGCCATCGAATTGAATTCGAACGCCCTCAGTACACGAAAGTTCTTTGTTGAAATAGGCAATCTTATAAAGTCAACCATCTGAATGACTAGAACATTTGTAAACAGAGAAGTTATATAAAAATGTGTGATAAGGTGTCTCAACAAACTGGAATGAATCAGAGACAATATATATCCTAAAATATAGTTGAGAGTCTTTTTTCACTGAAAAATCCGCCAGTGAAGTCAGTAAACTTTGAATATTTATTGATTCTTTATTTTACTATGAGTAATATTCACTTGCTCTGATAAATTTTCAGTAACCATGGTGGATTAACAGGCTCTCCCCGACATCCTGGTGATCTTGGAAATCTTCAAGTAGACAACAAGGGAGTTATGCATTTTGATCTCATGGTTGATATTTCTGCTTTGCATCTTTATGACGGATTTCTTGGAAGAGCAATCGTTATTCATGCAAAAGAAGACAACTTGGGATTAAAGAAAAGTTATGAAAGTCATGCAACAGGAAATTCTGGTCGGCCTTTAACATGTGCTCTAATTGGTCTATGGAGGGCTTAGATTACCCCTGTTGAATGCATAATCTGAGAAAAGCAGATAAATTTGTCTCACATACGAGTTTAACGCATTAGACGTTATATACAACTTAATTATTTTTAAGTATATTTTTTTAGATCATTTATATGTTCAGAGTGATTATCTACTTACATATTCTTAATATTGTAAAGCTAAATTCTTAATTTTGCCAGAATTGATTCTTGTATTGAATCCTTGTCGTTTTCTTTTCACCAACTTCTGTCAGTATCTTAGTAAAATTCTCTCGTAAGCTACATAAAGATTTCTTACACAGATGGGATATTTAACAGGCTTGAATAAACTATTTTCCTCTTCTGTGGATAACAAATTCTTTAAGTACACAGTTGGCTTATACATAAGGCATCTACTGAATTGGAACAAATGAGATAAAATTCAAATACAACCTATGATATTAGTGAAATTCAAATACAACCCGTGATATATGTATATTTGTGAAAAGTTTGTGCATTGTATAATAGATGAAGTTAATTATATTTGTATTCGAATAGTTTACACAAAATGATAAGTTTTTTTGTTCTTGTTAATATTGCTGCCCGTGATCACAATATCTGTTAGAACTTTTCTTTAATTTGCACATTTACGATTTGTAATCATATAAATGCAATATAAATTCTCTTCAGTCCCCTTTAGTTGGCTCCACGATCGCCTGTAAGCTTTCACCACCTTCTGACACGATCTCTCCCATGTCACCCTCAGTTTCACCATCAAATTGTCACCCAACGGTCTTTTCAGTGGATGGCCGATCCATCTTCGTTGTCTTTGCCTTATTTCTTTGGCAACAGGCTCTTGATTGGTTCATTCCCAGAGTGTCTCACTGGCCATATGATCTTCAGAATGGAGCCAATGACAACAACAGCTGTTGATAAAAATCTACAGCCTGTTACAGTTGTTTTTCTTCAAGAGCTCGCTAAGTCTCTCACAAATATGGGAGAAGTGTGTTACAATTATTTGTAATCGTAGTATTTGTATTTCACAATGACCGAATTACAAGAATCCAAACAAATCACAGAGAGGGCGGAATTCAGGAATTCCTATTTGGCGGAATTATTATTCAATTCATATAAGAAATATATTAACAATCAACAGTAAGTATTTAAAGAATACAGAGATAGAAATTGTCAATCACCACATCCGCCACACGTCGAATATCTCCTTGCGTACTTATAACGATGTCTCGTTTTGCTTGCAAGTAGCTGCGACCTTCTCACTGATTCTCTGATATTACTTTGATCAGTTTTATCTGGACTTATTTCTGAATTAGCTACAAAATCAGGATTAGTAGCGGAATCATTAATAATATAATTGGAACGACCTACTTCATTTATTTTCACTTGATCCAGGTGTCTGTTATGATCTGAGGGATCTTTGATGTCTAATATCTTCACCACTGGATTTCCCAATTTTTGTAGTACGATTCCAACAGAAGGTCTATAGTCATTCCCTTTGTAATAATGTACATTAGTAGTCGCGGACATCAGATGCTTTCTGAGAATTCGAGATTTGAATAGTTTTGCAGGATTTTTATGGGTACTTGTTGGCTCTGGATTCAACAGATGCAATCTATGCATGAGCTGCAATTCTCCCGTCTTAATCAGTTGCTCTCTCGTCTCAGTCACCAGCTTACGAGTGAACAACCAGCCAGCTTCCATTTCACTCACCTGTTTCCGAAACACTGCACACTGATATTCTTAATCCTTTTGCACGCCTGTCGCTGTCTCAACAAAACATTCAAGTTCACCGACTTTTTCATTATTTCGCTTATTCTCAGATTCCAGCTCAACGATTTGAGTTACCGATTCGCAGATTTCTTTCTCCTTCAATAAACAGGAATCCTCAGCAGCTGAAAGTTTAACTGTCAAATTTTTATTCTTCGCTTGTAAACGACCAACCCATTCACTGCTACTTTGCAAGCTCTCTTCGACCTCTAACAAATTTTTTAGTGTTTTAGACAGATTGCATCGTAACGCAGCTACCTCAATTTTAAAAACATGTGATACAGTTGACGCTTGAGTTGCTGAACTTGTGGTGACGGTTTTCATTGGATGAGATTGAGTGTTTTGAAAAGTTGAAAGACACACTGACTCCATTATACCAGACAGATTGGGAGAATTATAAGAATTCTGAATAACATAAGTATTCGAACTTGTGCAAACAGTATTGATGTGTCCAACTTCACCACATTTGTGACACTTAGCACCCCGAAAACGGCAAGTGCTTCGTAGATGTAACTATCCACAGGATAAACACGGTTTATTGTTTTTGATCTCTCGCTGCATTCCATTACATGTGGATGGCAGTTTGGATTTCATCCCATGAACACTTGTATTTTCGACTTTGGACAGCATGACAGCAGACGCTGACATAATGGGAGCTTGATATTCACTGTTGACATCTTCAAATATAGTCCATAAATCTTTAGCAGTTTGAAAAGTACAAGAAGGAATCTGAATTAACTCTTTCTCTAACTTAGGAATATTGATTCCAGCAATTAGACGATCACGTAATTGAGTATGCAGCTGATCTCCAAAAATGTAGTTTGAAGCTTGTATTTGAAGTTGAAGAATAAAGTCTCTAATCTTCTGGTTGGGAGCACGAACCAGTTTGTTGAAGTGAGCCCTCTCTCGTGTTTTGAAAGTTGTTATGTGGATGTAATCTGTTAGAATCCCACGGAGCTTATCACATGACAGAGAAATCGGTTCATCTGGTAATGACAGGGTTTTCACTAGGCTGTACGCATCTAGATCAATAGCAGTAATAAAATGAGCTGAAAGTCTGTCATTACGGACGTTTCATGACATGTACGATGCGTCAAAACATTCAAGATAATCGGTGGTTTACCGTGGTGAACCATTCGTAGGAAACTTTCCAAGGTTATTTAATTCCATAGCGACGCCAAAATGTTGTAATTATTTGTAATAGTAGTATTTGAATTTCACAATGACCGAATTAAACGGATCCAACCAAAAACAAAGAGGAATGAATTTAGGAATTTGTATTTGGCGGAATTATATATCAATACATATAATATGTATATTAATAAACGACATTAAGTATTTAAACAATACAGAGATAGAAACTGTCAATCGGGACAAAATGATTTAACCCTGTTGTTGAAAATCTGAATTTTGGTCTGTCTATGGAGAGAATCAGATTTCTAAACTGAATTCATAGTGATGGGATCTGTTCGACTTTTCCGATTCCGGTTTTGGCATTCTCTTCCAGTAATTGGAACGATGCTGCTTAAATAAGCGAAGGAAGTGACCTCCTTCAAACTTCTCCGATTGGTAATGGTCGGTTATACAAATATTGACGCATTTTATGTTTGACAAGCGAACCTGTATGGAATCACATACTAGCACAATATCTAAGTTTAATAGATATACTAAAGATTCTGTTTTATATTTCATAAAGTTCATACTCTCAATTCAGTGGGTAAAGAGAAGAATGATTTTTCAAAATAACTAAGCTTCTTAAACATTAGTTTCTTCACCGACCATCAGAGGTTCCAGTAAGGACAACCAGTTATGGGATACTAATCAAGCTCTTCGTGTAGGGTTGACTTCTTTGTTTCAAAGACTATTCTAAAACGCTGGAAGAAATATCTAACTATTTTTATGTAAATTTTAGTTCATTAGAAAGCCTTTTTTAACTAATTCTAATTTCAATACTAAACAATGTATCACAGGGACTCTGTATATTTATGTACGAATATTCTAAAGGTTAACTACCTAGAAATTCTCAGTTTATTATTTTAAAAAATCGCTGTCTCTCCGATAGTATGTTTAATTGAAGCAGTTAAGGAATATGAACATTGAACGTTAGTTCATTGGCCTTGATAGTCACTAGCGGGAAACTCGAAGGCGCGAGTTGTAGGGCATGGTAAGTTCGGCGGTTTTCTAATCTTCAAACTATGCTTGTCTACTTTCAGGTTGGCTACGAAGTATGCAGGGATTGGTTACCCAAGACGAGGCAACGGATGACCAGTAGGAGTGCCCCTTCCCTCTTATCTCACTGTATTGCGATTGGTTGTAAATATAACACTTGAGCTTGAGTCTTCGTTCTTACTAGCACGCAACACTTGTGTGATCACACTGCTAACGTGCGCTTTGCTCTCTAATGCAGATCACTGCTTGACGAGTGAGCTTACAGAGTGGTTCAGTCATGTACAAGTTGGAAGAAGATGAAGGAATACGAATAAAAGAACAGTATATTTATTGTAAAACATTTGTTTATAGACTTTGTACAGGTTTTTGATTTTAACTCCTGAAGAATACAATTTCTTACTGGTCCTTGTGTTATGGAGTTAAAGTCAATAATTGTACCCAGTATAGTTATCGGTTCGTAGCATCTTCGAAAGTGATAAGAACCCAGCGTTAAGTCCCTTGACAGTTTTTATTCTTCTGTTCATTTTCTGAAAAGCCCTCTGGAACCCTTCTGGGGGTACTTACTTGGTGTGCTACCAGCATCTTTGAACATGGATTATCAACGCAATTTGGATCCTTTTGGGACGTTGGATGATGCCTGGACCAAAAAAAGACGTGTCACTTTGGAAGCAGCCAGGAAAGTAAGTAATGGTGAGTTGCCTGTTTTTTTAATGGTGTGTTTGTTGCTGAGCATGGTAAGATAGATGTTCGTTTCTCGCTGTCTAGTGACAGTAGGGGTTTTAAACTTCCGAAACTTGAACCACGGTATTTTGACGGAAACCCAGCTGACTATTCACAATTTGTAAAGTAGTTTGAAGTCATGTTGAGTGATTTTGTAATAAATGACGAAATGAAGTTGATGTATTTGTTGAGGTATTGCGCTGGAGTCGCTGCAAGAGCCTTACAGTGCTGCAAGTTTACGGCCACAAACAAAGGCTGTACTGAGGCCATGAGGATATTACGTCAAAGGTTTCCTAGGTCTTTTATGATAACCCATACCGCTTTTGAGACTGTTGAAGGTAATGGGAACAGTTAAGTGACAACTCCGAGGACCTCACAGAGTTCTTGGAAAATTGAAGCGTGTCAATGTAGTTCAAGATTGAAAGATCAATTCATGGTTGTTTGCTCAAAATCAACTTCCCCAATTTTCGCGGAGGCATCAATATGACAGTCATCGTCTCATCGGTCGCTGTTCAGAAAGGAGAGTGAAACATCGTCAGAAACCTTAGTTCAGTTATTCTTTATATATGTTGCTGTAACAATAAAGAAATCTCAAGCGGCAGATCGGTGTTTTGGTTTTTTCGTCCGTCATAACTAAGCGTTTCTGAAAACCTGCAAGGAACAGCGTGGGCTCGAGCGTAGCAAGAGCTGGGCATTAACGGTTTATGAGACGTGATTGACAGTTTCTGACGATTGAAACAGATCTGGCGGATTGAAACAGTTGGTGAAAGTTTGGATAGTCGCCATACATTTTTCCTGGTGCCGGTCAAGTCCTCTTTGAACAAGCAATATCTGGAACGTTTTTGGAATTGGGTCAAGTTCAACAATGCCTGGGTCAAAGAAGGGACAGAGCGTCTTGGATGCAAACAGGAAATTAAGTCATGGTGA